GCTTCCACTGCCCTATCCCAGGACATCCCTGAGATTGCATCTGAGGCCCTGTCCCGTGGCTTTGGCTCCTCTGCTCCTGAGGGCCTTGAGCCAGACAGTATGGCTTCAGCTGCCTCAGCGCTACATCTACTGTCCCCACGGCCCCGACCAGGGCCTGAGCTTGGCCCCCAGCTTGGCCTAGATGGAGGCCCTGGGGATGGGGATCGGCATAGTACCCCTTCCCTCCTGGAGGTGGCCTTGACCCAGGAGGCCACAGCCTCTGACAGTCAGGTCTGGCCTACGGCACCAGACATTACTCGTGAGACCTGCAGCAGCCTGGCAGAGAGGTGAGGAACTTGGGAGGGGAAAAGTGTGCTGATGGGAGGGGCTTCAGATAGAGTCATCCACTGATAAGTTAGCCTGTCTCCCCAGCCCCAGGAATGGCCTCCAGGAAAAGCACAAGAGCCTGACCTTCCACCGACCACCTTATCACCTGCTGCAGCAACATGACAGCCAGGACGCCAGTGCTGAGCAAAGGTGGGCACCACCCCACACCATTTTCTCACGAGGGTAGATGGGTAGCAAGTGGGTAGGCGCTTATCCTTCTACCTCCCCTTCCCACAGTGACCATGATGATGAGGTAGCCAGCCTTGCCTCTGCTGCAGGGGGCTTTGGTACCAAAGTTCCCACTCCACGGCTGCCGGCCAAGGACTGGAAGACCAAGGGATCCCCTCGAACCTCACCCAAGCTCAAGAGGAAGGGCAAGAAGGATGATGGGTAGGGGGTTTCTGGGGCCAGGGGGTGGGGTGGTTCCCAGACTGCCTGCCTGACATGGCCTGAGGTGCTTCTCGCCTATGGCAGGGATTTGGCCGTGGGATCTCTGCTCATGGAGCACCAGGTAAGTGAGGAAACAACCTTTCTACTTGTGGGACTCCTCCCTGTGAGGGTGGGGAAGGGCTGTAGGCCATTCCCTGGTCTCGTGTGTGAGGATGGGTGGAACAGGCATCGTGTGACCGTTGGCGCTACTGGCAGATGGCAGAGCTTCCTGAGGACTGGCCAGCACTAATTTGGCAACAGCAGAGAGAGCTGGCTGAGCTGCGGCACAGCCAAGAAGAGCTGCTGCAGCGTCTGTGCACCCAACTTGAAGGCCTGCAGAGCACTGTCATGGGCCACGTAGAACGTGCCCTAGAGACACGACATGAGCAGGAGCGTATCCTTGTGGGTGGTGGCACAGTATGGCATAGGGCTAGGGGCAGCCATAGCATTCTTGGCCCAGGAAGGGATATGGGACCTCTTCCAGGCCTATTCCTTAGCTACAATGCAGAGCGGCGGCTGGAGCGGGCACTAGCCGAGGGGCAGCAGCGGGGTGGGCAGCTGCAGGAGCAGCTGACGCAACAGCTGTCCCAGGCACTATCTTCAGCTATGGCTGGGCGGTTGGAGCGGAGCATACGAGACGAGATCAAGAAGACGGTGCCTCCATGTGAGTTTTGCATGGAGACTTCTTCCGGGAGGACCAGGTGGGAGTGGCGCCCACTACCTGTCAAGTTTCCTCTCATGGCTCCACCTCTCCCTCCTCACCTGCCCCAGGTGTCTCTAGGAGTCTGGAGCCTGTGGCAGGCCAGCTGAGCAACTCAGTGGCCACCAAGCTCACAGCCGTGGAGGGTAGCATGAAAGAGAATATCTCCAAGCTGCTAAAGTCCAAGGTGCCGTAGGGTCCAAGATGAGGGAGGTTGGTGGTTGGTGGGCCTGGTCAGGGCAGCTTGGGCTCAGGCTTTCAACTTGGCCCCTCCCTTTACCCCCAGAACTTGACAGATGCCATCGCTCGAGCAGCTGCAGACACGTTACAGGGGCCAATGCAGGCCGCCTACCGTGAAGCCTTCCAGAGTGTGGTGCTGCCTGCCTTTGAGAAGAGCTGCCAGGCCATGTTCCAGCAGATCAATGATAGCTTCCGACTGGGCACACAGGAATGTGAGTGGAGTCATATGCCCGAAGGTGAGAGGGGCTGTCCCCTTCTTCCTCACCATCCCTCTCATAGCCCCCATGGTCACATCTCAGACTTGCAGCAGCTAGAGAGCCATATGAAGAGCCGAAAGGCACGAGAGCAGGAGGCACGGGAGCCTGTATTGGCTCAGCTGCGGGGCCTAGTCAGCACACTGCAGGGTGCCACTGAGCAGATGGCGGCCACGGTGTCCAGCAGCGTTCGGGTTGAGGTGCAGCACCAGCTGCACGTGGCTGTGGGCAGGTATGTGAGCAGGGCACTGGGCAAGGTGGTGGGTTTGGAAAGGGCCAGACCAGGCTCTGTTTACATTATCTCCCTCACTTCCCTTTGTAGCCTGCAGGAGTCAATTTTAGCACAAGTACAACGCATTGTGAAGGGTGAGGTGAGTGTGGCACTCAAGGAGCAGCAGGCTGCCGTCACCTCTAGCATCATGCAGGCCATGCGCTCAGCTGCTGGCACACCTGTCCCTGCTGCCCACCTCGACTGCCAGGCCCAGCAAGCCCATATCCTGCAGCTGCTGCAGCAGGGCCACCTCAATCAGGCCTTCCAGCAGGTACGAGAGGCATTAGGTCCAGGTAAGGGTCAGTGTCTCCTGACAAGGCCCACATACTGTTCTACATGGGTACCTTCCAATCTACCCATCAGGCTCTGGGCGGTCTGGCCCCAGTGGACTGTTCTTGGTCCTCTTTCGCTTCCAGGCCATTTCCCCTGCTTTTCCCTCTGCCTGGACCCTGGATCCCTTTCTTCCTACCTCACCCTCCCCCGCCTTGCTTCATGACCACCCTTCTCAGCAAACATTTCCTGATCCTCTAGAGTAACAACACAGCCCTACAGTGCTCTCTCTTGGCCTCTAAGCATCCCCCTCTGGAGACCTCAGTACCCTACTCTATGGTTATCCCCTCCCAGGCCACACAGCCAGACAAGCACGCATTCTATCCTAACATTAGCTATAAATACTGTTCTCTACCCAGGCTCTGACAGCTGCTGACCTGAACCTAGTGCTGTATGTGTGTGAAACTGTGGACCCAGGCCAGGTTTTTGGGCAGCCACCCTGCCCACTCTCCCAGCCCGTGCTCCTTTCTCTCATCCAGCAGCTGGCCTCTGACCTTGGCACTCGAACTGACCTCAAGCTAAGGTAAGTAGGCGCAGTCTGGGACCAGGAGATAGGATGAGGTGAAAGTCCGGGAGCAGTTCAAAGCAGAAACTCCTACTGCTGCCTGACTCCCCTCCCTAATTTTCTCCACCAATCCCCTCTGCACCCTCCATCTTAGGCTTAGAGGCCTCACTTGTCCCTCTGGGCCTCAGTGCCACCAGGGGGCGCTCCCGTCTGCTGGAGCCCACCTATAGCCTGTCCCTTTCCTCCACCGGCAGCTACCTGGAAGAGGCTGTGATGCACCTGGACCACAGTGACCCCATCACTCGGGACCACATGGGCTCCGTCATGGCCCAGGTGCGCCAGAAGCTCTTCCAGTTCCTGCAGGCCGAGCCACACAACTCACTTGGCAAAGCGGCCCGGCGTCTCAGCCTCATGCTGCATGGCCTTGTGACCCCCAGCCTCCCTTAGCTAAGCCTGCCTTGCCCAGAGGTGGGATGGCACTGAAGGCCAGTAGACAGGCCTAGGCCAAAGCAGGGTCATGCCTGCCCTTTACCTGCTCAGGCTCCCACCTCTGGGGTATTTGAGGGGGGCAGCACTGGCTGTGGTCTACAGGTTGTGGTAGCCAGCAGGTTTAGGCTGGGCCCAGGGTGGGTATTGTGCCTTCTTGGGTTCTGCCATGCCTGGAGCATGACCCCGAGATCGTGACACCACTTGAGTTGAATTTTCCATGTTCCTTTTTACCTCCAATTTGGATCTTTTTGTTTTTGAAAAACATTGAGAAATTCAATTAAATGCTTTTGGAATAAAATGGAGTGTGTGCTTTTGGTGTGTCTTTGGTGTGTCTTTAACTGCCCTCTGTTCCCTGTCTCCTCTCTTCTCCTTGTGTGGAGCTCTGTCTAGGCCAACCTACCCCAGCAGCCTGGACACCGCCCCTCATCTGCACAACTGCCCTCCCAGATCTCCCCTCCCCATCTTCCGGGGCGAGGGCCCTGGGGGTCAGCTCGTCATTGCTCTGTGCCCTGGGCTCCTCTCCCCTGGGGGTTCGTTCCGCTCTCTTGCCAATCTGGGTACTGGGGGCGGGGCCGACGGCTTGCTTTGGAGCCCCGCCTCCGGCTCCCATCCAATCACAGTCCCTCCTTCCGGGAGTTGGGCTGAAGGGCTAGCTCCAAGCTGCTGGCTTTGGCACTAGGCTCCCAGCCGGGAATGATGCGCTGCTGCTACTGCTGCTGCTTTCACCACCGCCAGCAACCGCCCCGTGCGCTGGGGCTGTTGCTGCTGCTGCTGCTGCTGCTGCCGCCGCCGCCACCACTCGGTGAGTGCGGGCGTGCTGGACCTGGCCCAGAGTGCATACCCTCTCGCCAGCCTGGGTATAGGATATCTGGGAGCTGGGGCACACCTTTTCTGAACGCTGGGAGCCAGGGTGGAGAGGAGGTATGAGGGCTCCAGAGAGGGGATAACGTGTCCCAGTGACTTCAGGATGGAAAGTGAGGGGCATGAACTGAGCCCTAGTTGTGGTGGAAGCACCCTGAAATTCTGCAGCCCCCATTTTGATAAAGGGAGACATGGACTCTGGCTGGACTCCTAGATCAGCTGTGGGATCCCCGAGGTCCTCTGTTAGGGTCTGGCCTGGATCCTGACCCCCTCTATCCTGCCTCATCCGTCCAAAAACACCTGTCTTTGGGAACGTGATGGGAAGGCCAAGCAAAGCTTGTCCAGGCTGCAGAGAGACTTGAGATGCCAGAGGCCGTGTGGCCCCAGACCCTGCCCCCCTTCAGCATATCCTGACTCCTTCGCTTGAACCATCGTCACCCTACCTGGGGACCGAGGAGCTGGGAGAAAGAGCGGATCCCTGGGGTGCGACACTCCCACCCCCCACCCCCGCATGTATCCTGTTGGGGTCCTGCCTAGAAGGGGGCCAAGGCAGGTGATCCCCAGACATGCCCCTTAATTCCCTGGGATTAAGGGAATTATTGTGCCCCTTTCATGCTGAGTCACGTCCCCAGAGCGCACCCAGGTAAACAAACCCCTGGGGTTTGGGGGGTGGGACCGGCTCATCCTGTCAACCATTCTCCATCCCCACCCCCAGTCCTTGTATCTCCCCTGGCAGCAGCCACAGCGGGCCCAGGCCGCTGTGACACCATATACCAGGGCTTCGCCGAGTGTCTCATCCGCTTAGGGGACGGCATGGGCCGCGGAGGCGAGCTGGAAACCGTCTGCAGGTAGGGGGCAGGTTGCAGGTGCCAGGGCAGCGGCCTGACCCCCCCGCCGCCCTCAGGGCCTTAACCTCTTCCTTACCATTCCAAAGCCTCCTCGCCCCACCTAATTCCCCTAACCCTAACGCCCTTAACAGGTCTTGGAATGACTTCCACACCTGCGCCTCGGGAGTCCTGTCGGGCTGTCCGGAGGAGGCAGCCGCTGTGTGGGAGTCGCTACAGCAAGAAGCTCGCCGGGCCCCGCACCCGGATAACTTGCACGCTCTGTGCGGCACTCCTGTGCGTGTCCAGGAGCGTGGCGCGGGCCCCGAGACCAACCAGGAGACGCTGCGGGCAACAGCGCCCGCACCCACCCCGGCTCCCGCGCCCCCGCTATTGGCGGCCGCTCTGGCGCTCGCCTGCCTTCTGGGGTCTCTGGCCTAGCCAACCGGTCGGGTAGCAGCGCCGCTGCCTCCAGCCCTGCTCTAGCAGCTAACGTCGGGGCTCTGCAGAGCGCAACGCGCTTTCATTAAAGGTATTTATATTTGTACTAAGCTCCTTCCTTTCTTCCGGCTGCGGCCCACTTGGCTGGGGTGGAGGCCTCCAGAAGCTGATCCCCAAGTCAGGATGGGAGGGGCCGAAGTCCGCCACAGGGGACTCAATCTTTCTCCTTACAAACACTCATTTCCCAGGGGTGGCACCGAGCTTTCCACTGCGTGCAGATTCCAAGAGCTCTGTGGTGACCTGAGATCTGCCAGAAAGTACAGCTTTTCTCTGTCCTCCAGGGCTAGCACTCCTAGCCCTGCCTGCTCCTCCTATCTTGGTCCATAGGGGCTCTGTAAGGTGGTGGAGCATCATTCCCCACCACCTCCCCCAGCCTGTCCAGTCCGTTCTCCAGGTTGTTCCAGCCTCCAGGCTCCTGACCATCTCACCTCCTCCTCCCTCTGCTGAACTACCACCTTAGCCTTCAAGACACAGCTCAGACTAAGTGCTCTGTCCTCTCCCTCTCTGGGGTTCTGGTCCATCTGAGGGAAGCCTGTCCCAGAAGGTGGGGAGCAGGCCGGCCCAGTGGCATAGTGGTTAAATTCGCATGCTCCGCTTCGGTGACCCAGGGTCCGCAGGTTCAAATCCCAGGCGCGGACCGACACACCACTTATCAAGCCATGCTGTGGTGGTGTCCCACATACAAAGTGGAGGAAGATGGGCACAGATGTTAGCTCAGAGCCATTCTTCCTCAGCAAAAAAAGAGGAAGTTTGGCAACAGATGTTAGCTCGGGGCCGATCTTCCTCACCAAAAACAAAAACAAAAAGAATAGAAGGTGGGGGGGCCTGCCCTGTGGCTTAGCAGTTAAGTGCGTGCGCTCTGCTGCTGGCAGCCCTGGTTCAGATCCCAGGTGTGCACCTATGCACTGCTTGTCCAGCCATGCTGAGGCCGCGTCCCACATACAGCAACTAGAAGGATGTGCAACTATGACATACAATTACCTACTGGGGCTATGGGGAGAAAAAGGAAAAAAAGGAGGAGGATTGGCAATAGATGTTAGCTCAGAGCCGGTCTTCCTCAGCAAAAAGAGGAGGATTGGCATGGATGTTAGCTCAGGGCTGATCTTCCTCACAAAAAAATAAATAAATAAATAAAATAAAATAAATAAAAGGAACAGAAGGTGGGGAGCTTCTATTGGAGTCTATATTCAAGTTCCTGAGGTGACCTGGAGCTGCAGAAACTGGGGTCACAATGAGGGTTCCTCTGGCCTCTGCTCTTCACAAGCTTGTTCTTTGAGAAGAGGTGTGCTGCATGAAGTCAAAACAATGCCAGAAGGTGTTCTGGAAGCTCCAGAATGAGTGTGTGGTGTGAGGAGCCCCTGCTCATTCTGAAGGAGAGGAGGAGCAAGAATCAGCATGGGCAGAATCCTGAGGGAAAGAGGAGGCCTCAGAGAGGGGGAGATCCTCTTTTGATCAGTCTTCTACCACCACTGCCAGGACCCTATTCCAAGCCACCACCCCATAACTTGTGTGGGCACTGCCATGGCCTCTTCATTGGCTTTTACTCTCACTTCTTCCACTTTATTCTCCATTTTCTAAATTGAAAAACTGATCCTGATGTTAAGCTCGTTCTCAGTGTCTACAAGGCCCTGCATAAGCCAGCTCTGCCCACCCTTTATTCAGTCTAGTCCTGCAGCTCTCCTCTGTAGTAGCACAGAGGAGTGATCTACCTACTCATGTAGGTCCCTCCAATCAGGGGAGGCTTCAGAGAAGGAGCATGGTAGGGAGTGATAGAAGATAAGGATGTGAAACTTACAAGTGGTGGAGGAGAGGTGGGGCTGAGTTGGAATTGGTTTTACAAGAGCGGCCCAAAGGAATCAGTTGGGAGGGAGGGAGGGATGGGTGTCCAAGAGCTAGGCAGGCCAGGTTTACACTAAAGCCCATGCTGGGAGACTGCTGCCGGCAAGACAGAATGAGGCCTGATAGGACCCTTGCTTAGGCTCCAGAGACCTCGACCCACGTGTGTAGGAGCCCTACTTCATCCATGCTTCTCAAACACCCTCCCATTCCCGTTAGCTCAGATGCCTCAGTTAACTCCCTCTCTGCCCTATCTTTGCTCCTGTGCTTCATTCACCTTTACTTTTATTCCCACTTCTCTCTCTCAACCATTACACATCTCATATCACCTGAAAGGAAGTTCAGGAAAAAAACTCTGCTAGACCTGCCCGCCTTTGACCACCAGAATTTTCCAGAAGGGAAGGCCAGCCTTATTCCTCTGGGTCTTTGTACATCTATTCTCTGTGCTCAGAATACCCTTCCTCCATTCCTCCTTGTGAGCTCCTACTTCTTGTTCAGTGTCACCTCCTCCAGGAAATGTTCCCTAACCTGACTCCAAGCTGAATCTGAAGCCTCCTACAGGTCCACATAGCTCCTGGGCTCTCTTCTCGCTCAATACTGATAGCACTGACTTGTTACTGTCTGGGTCTGGGTCAGAATTCTCCACTGTGGACTCTCCAAGGGTCCTCTTTGTGTCTCCAGCACCCAACGTTGGGCTGGGTATAAAGAGTGCACTTGTGGGAGTGTGTGGAATGAAAGATGGAATCTCTAAGTCCAGCAAAGGAAGTGTTACAGTCAGCAAGAGCTTGGACTGATAATGACCCCAGTGCAGAGGATGTGTCATCTTGGGGCAGCCCCCTCACCCTGGGCATACTGTTGGGAATGATGGTGCTGGGGCTCCAGACCCCCAGAATCTTCTCAGAGCCACTCTTAGTGGGTGGCCAGGAGCAGGGGCCCAACTGCTCTGGCCAGCCATCAGGGGGATTACCATCCTCCTGCTGTGACCTACTTTCCCCTGGTTTTTGCTCCCTAAGTCCTTGCTCTTCCCCAGAATTGAGTGGACTGTGTGCGTAGGGGTGGGGGTGGGGACAGAATCTGCTCTCTGGCCAGGGGCTTAAGAGCTTTGTGCTGTTTTATCCCAGAGCTGGAGGAGAAGGGTGGGCTGATAGCCAAACTGATTGGGCCCTGGACACAGCTGCTGAGGCCAGAGCATCAGAGTGGTGGTGTTTCTCACATTTACCGCTCTGAGGACACGGAATAGCTTATTGTTCACGGGAGAGCCTGGGGGCTGTATGTCCTGAGCCCAGTCCCTTCTGCATCAGCATACCTCTTCACCTCAGGGCCTCACGTTCTTCACCAGAGCAGAGACAAGCACTTACCCCTAGCAAGGGCTCAATAATATTTGCTGAATGTCTGTAAAATGGGAGTGCATTTTACACATTTAAGTTGCCCCAGCAACCCCAGAATTCTATATTACTTTTAACCCCCACAACAACTCTGTGGGCTCAAGATTATAATCCCCATTATACCAATAAGAAAAATGAGCCTTAAGGAGGGAAGGCTAAGGTCACACATGCGTGGAAGCGTCAGAGCTGGGATGTGATCCCAAGTTTATTTGGCCCCAAAGTCCATGCTGTTAATCATCACACTAGACTTTTGGAAGCAATTTTTAAAGTTTTTCTTTTTTAAAAATCTTTAATGATCCCCTGCTAAATAAAACAGACAAAATGATGTTTTATCGGTGTTAATTTATTTTCAGGTTTACAGTATAACATTAGCTTATACAGTCAATTAAAGACAGTCCCATGTGGGAAGTAAGTGCTTAATAAAGATTTGTTGAGGGCCTGCCTGGTGGCTTAGCGGTTAAGTGCACGCGCTCTGCTACTGGCGGCCCGGGGTTCCTATCCCAGGCGCGGACCCAGGCACCGCTTCTCTGGCCATGCTGAGGCCGCGTCCCACATACAGCAACTAGAAGGATGTGCAGCTATGACATACAACTATCTACTGGGGCTTTGGGGGGAAAAAAAATAAATATAAATAAAGATTTGTTGAATAAATGAACAGACAAATGAGGAAGATGGATGGAGGTTACAATCCCTTTATTACCTGTGGCATCTATTTTTTTCCTCTGCAATTTGGGTTGATTGTAAAGTAGTGAGGTAATTTTGATCCTATAGAGAAGTCATTTGTGAACGGTAACAACTTTTTAAAAATCTACTTGCTTTGCAGTCTCAGGATACACTTAAATTCAATAACAACAACAAAAATTAAAACAAAAAACCGTTACTCCGAAGTTGGCCCAAGATTGACTTCGCCAATCCTCAAATTAACCATTTGCAACTTCTCTGTGATGGAGGTCAAATTTAACACATCCGAGTGCCTGAATTATTTTAATCGCAGTTTTCAAAAACAGATTTGTCAATGAAATTCAAATCGATCTTTTGCGGAGTTTCAGAGGTATTTCCAGAAACCGCTGTTGAAATGCCCTGCGTCCCCAACCTCGTACGCCCTCTCCCCTAACCAGAAACTTAAAATTTTCCTCTACCTCCCGCAGTTCTCCTCTTTTTCCAGCACAAGTCTCTTTGTCAGCCTACTGTCGAGCCACTTTGAGCCACAGATAGACCCACCCCATCCCCGGAGAGAGCCCGTCCCCGCCCCGAAGGCGTTGATTGGCAGGCCAGTCTCGGAGCGCCGCCAACCGCATAGCCCGACCTTCCGGAGGGTCCGCCCCCGCCCCGCCCCGTAGGAGGCCCCAGTTTGTTTTCGCGTCAAGCGCGCACTGTGATGACGCCGGGACGCTGACGCTTGAGGATGGCGGCTGCAGCGGCCGCTGCTGTGGCCGCGGCCCGGAGAGGGTCAGCGCAGCCGCGGAGACGGCGAAGAGCCCGCCGTCCCCGCGAGGTGAGGCTGGCCGACCGAGGGCGACGGCCCGACGGGCGGGAGGGATTGACGAGCTGTGGCCACGGTCGCTTCCTGGGACACCGGGCCTGTCCTTGCCCAGCCCGGAGCCCTAGGCCCGTGCCCAGGATGCCGGGGCCTACGGGGCTGGGGAGAAGGGCAGGCGATGTCTGCTTAGGGACCCCGGTGTCCGAGGCTGGACTGGCCTCGAAACGTGCTGCTGCGCTTGGTAGCCCGTCTTTGGGGTCGTGTGGGCCTGGTGAACGTGGTCAGCCTCCCTGCCTTCTGTTCAGCCAGCCGGCATCGGTCAGGGTGAACTAACGCGG